ATAAAAGTTAAAAAAGATTGAAATTTTGAAAATATGTTTTAGTTTCAGGAATTCTTGAGTCAGAAGAAATGATCCAAACGTCATGTTGCCCCTTTTTCTGCACTAAAGCCTCCAATGAGAATCCAGGGTCCTTTGGCATCATATCCTCATCCCCTTTTCTAGAGTGACACCTCTACTTGGTCCTCCTTCTGCTCACCCCTCCTCCGCCCACCAGTGCTTCAGAGTTCAAAGCCTGGGGAGCCATTGTCTGCTGTCCCCCAACACCATGGCCCAGCCAGCCAGAGGGCAAAGAGTAAAGAAAGAGACTCCAAGATCCCAAGCAGGGGTAGGGAGGGCAGGAAAACAGTGCATGTTCTGAGGAAATATCGTGTGAAATGGGAGCCCCTGGGGCAGCTCTGCTGAGAATTTGCAGACAGCATTGGATGAAGGCCTTCAAAGTTAATGCTGTTTCAAGTTTGTACCAAGTGTCTTCCACACAGTACGCCCGTACATGCCGTTAAATAAACAAATGGATGAACGGATGGTTTAATTTAATACAGAGTCTATCACAGGGTTAAAGATTAACATGATGTACAGCTTGGTACCTACTGCCAAGAATTAAAGATAAAAGGAATCAGGATTCGTATGTTGGGGAAAGGCTAAAGGATAAACCTTTCAAGGTTTTTAAGTATGCAAAGAAATGACGTAGGGAAGGTGCTGGTGGGGGGAAAAAAAGCTTAAATCAGAAGGTCTGAGCTGCAGGATGAACTGAGGAGGTTCCGTATAAAATCAGAAGAGTGACTCAGCATGCTAATGACTTAGCTTCCTGAGGGGTGACAAAATATAGTCTCATCCTCTATCCCGTCCCAAGATACTTAGGGTCCTTACTGGCTCTGAGTTGATAGTTTCACAAGATGAATCAGCAACATGGAACTTCTTCACTTCTCTGAGCTACCCAAAGTATTTCCCATTACCACAAATCACAGCCCCTCCCTTAAGATGCCAGGACTGGTTCTGCTAGGCAAGTGGTCTTATACAGATGGTAAGATTTGCCAGTTTGGAAAAGATCTCTGAACTCAGCTCTTCTCCCTTGCTGCTACATCTGCTGTCCTATGCAGCACCTTATATTTTAGATCTACCTTCAAGATTAATCTGCTTTATATTTTATTCCCTAAGGGCCATGTATCTGCTAAGGTGACAAGAGGAACCAGTGTTTCTCCTCCTAGGACCTGAAATTCTGTTATAATTCACTCAAAAAATTAAACTAGCCAGTCTTCTGATCTTGTCCATAGGGAAGAAAGTATTGAATCTGTTTTCAACCAAGAAGCTAAGCTTACTACCTATTGCATGCTTTGTAGTGCAAATGTACAAAACTTTCCCCTTCTACATGACAAGTCCCTCAGAGAATATTTTTTAAATAGCGTTAACTGCAAGATATGCAAGATAATACTTAGCAATTAACCAGACATTGCCAAATATCAACTGAAAAACTCTCAAGTCCTTTGTTGAACAAACAGATGGAGTTTGCTTTTATAAAAATATGTTTAATAAAGTGGCAGCATAATGTATTAATCTGAAAAATAATACATCTGAGCAGACAAGAGCTGGGGGACATATATCATTTTTGAACTATCATATATTGTCATGGACCTTAATTTTTTTCTGGAGGGTTATTGACCAGGCTTCTTTAGCAGTCACCTGGGACAACTAGCAGATGCAGTTCCTCAGATGAACAGTTGTAGCTTCCAGGATTGTGTCTGTGGTATTTGTTTCTAGGCAGAACCCAACACTGACATTATGACCCTCATTAGTGTCCACTCTTGGCAACAAAACTAATGATACATGTGAATTTTCCTTGGTTTGGCATATTGACCATTGTGTAACTCATTTGGTGAGTATGACAAAGGAAAATGATGGAGACACTTAAATACAACAGCAAAAGATGGTTAAGTTCTCTAGGAGAATTGGTTAGTATGTAACGTTGTCAATTGTGTTCAGTAACTTTAAGAGAATCCTCACCTACCTAGTCACTATGTGTGGGACGTTATTTCCTGATGGAAGTTATTTAATGAAGAATAATGGACTTAAGCATAATGATTGATGTATCATTGCCTGTGGTGACTGTTTTAGATAAATAAGATGGTTTAAAGTTAATATTTTAAAGAAAAGAAAGCAAGGTGTGGGGTGCACTAGTATGACCATGTAAGCAACTGCAACCAACTTAAGTAGATGTTTCTGTAGAAGGCTTGATGATTTAACTAAAGACATTTAATCACCTCCACCCATGAAGAAGATAGTCTAGGAGAAATAAGAGAGTCAAGCACACCACCTGTCAGCCTAGCAGTCAGTAAATGAAAGGAGTCCATTCCAGTCACTGATTTAATTATGGTTGGATTCCACAAGAACCTTAAACACCATCTACATAAATTTTTGAACTATAGGTAGGAATAAATCTTCAGTGTCCGGCTGCCAAAGCCAAAAGATAAAGTCAGCAGGTCTCATGAGACAGGGTGGGGAAATATGAGGTGAGGGGGAACTACCTGCATCTTCCCAACTCTGGTTCATGTTCTTGGACACTTTGTTTTGACCCCTACCAAGTCATGTCCCACAAGTACAACAGTGTTCAACTACATTACAATTGATTCTTATACCTGAGATTAGACAGAAATGACTTGTGCTTTTTCCCTTATCTCTGCATTCTGTACTTGATACTAAGAACTTGAAAGTCTTCATTCTATTGGATTAGTTGCATATAACCTCGAGGTATAAGAGGTCAAGATGTAGCTTTTTTGACAGTATGGGTCTGTATAGTCCATCTGCCTCTACCAGGAAGGAGCCTGTTTTCCTAATTGAGTTACTTTGTGGTTTAAAAGTTACTTTGTGTTTTATAAGTAGGTCTTTATATGCACACAAAAGCACATGAGCACACGTCCTTACCAACACTTGTGACTGTCATTTTTGTTAAAACCGTACTAGTGAGTATAAAGTGGTATCTCATTGTGGTTTTGATTTGCATTTCCCTGCATTGATGTTGAGCATCTTTTCATGTTCTTCTCTTCATTTTCACCTCTCTTTTTCTCACTGAGGAATGACCAAGGCTACAGAAACAGAACTCAGCTTATGAATTTCCAACAGAAGAAACCATGTCTTACTCATTTTTATATTTTCAGCACCTAGAACAATGCTAAGCACATGTAGATGCTAAATAAATGCAGTTCATAGATAAATGACTGAATGAACACACAAAGCATTCTAGTTCCATTTCTTCTCTGCCCAGATCCTTCCCAGGATTCCCTTTTTAAAAATGACTGACGAGAGTTTTGAAACCCTTGCAGTGAACTCAACAGATGCATCATGGTTTGCATGATGCAAAAGTAAACTAAGAAAAGCTGTGATATTTAAAAATACAATCCTGTACATTACTAAACCTCACTTTCAAGTCAATTATCTGCCTCCCAAGAAGGAACATTTTTCTAAAGTAAAGTTTGAGCAAAATAATTTCTAAGAAATTATGAAAAGGATTTATTTCATTGTTTCCTTAATGACTTTTTTTCTGAAAAGCAAGACTTCGGCAACTGACCTAATTTAATAAAAGGTCTATGAAATGTCATGGTAAAATACACAGTAAGGCATCAGTCATTTCAACCTAGCTAATCTTTATTGGAATGAAGAGTTTACTGAGTCAAAAAACTTCGTAAGGGCCATGATCAGGAGAAAGGATTGTTTCTCAGCCTCTTGCTTCTTCACATCCCAACCAATCCTGCCTCATTTTGATTGTCTGGTCTTATGTTAAGCTGTGTGATTCTATGTATCACACAATTTATCGATGGCAAACCATTGATACAGGGGAGAATGAACCTGCCCTCCTGAATCAGCATCTTGTGTCTCGGCACCCTCTCCACAGGAGGGGAAAAGAGCAAAGACAAGAGCGAAAGAGGAAGCTTCTGCTTTTGTGCTTTTTAGCTTCCTGGGTCAAGGAATTTAAACTAATAAACTCATTGTCCACTAAAAAAGAGAGTTATCATGTTTAGATTTTCCTTTTTTCTTAATAAACAAAACCTCTGTTATTTCACACTATCCAGTGTTGTTGGATTACTTATCATAATATCACAAGTTTACCTAATCTTTTTAGGGGGCAAAATTCATTCTACTTAAAGTTAACTCTCTATTTTTAGAAAAAGACCAGCATATTATACTGGAGGGCTAGAAATTAAGAGACCTGGGTTTTAATCCTGCTGGTAATTTCCAGTGTGACCCTGAGGAAGGCCAAACTTCTGCAGGCCTGTTTCTTCACCTTTCAAGGACTTCATCATCTCCTGGGACTCTTCCAGCTATAAAGTTTCCTGAATTTATTGCATGGTACTGTGATTCCAAAGTGGATCAAATCTTTTGAAAACAGGTTTTGAAATAAGCCTTGTTAAAGAGATTGTGTTTTCTAGAACTCACAGTGCTCAAATCCTGGCCCCTCTGCTTGAGTCACTGGCTCTAGCCTTCCTGCCATTCCTACCTGCACAGCAAGTGATCACAGCTATTTCTTTTCTCTCTTTTTAAGGCAGAATTTTGCTCTTGCTCCCCAGGCTGGAGTGCAATGGTGCAATCTCAGCTCACTGCAACCTCTACTTCCTGGGTTCAAGTGATTCTCTTGCCTCAGCCTCCTGAGTAGCTGGAATTACAGGTGCCTGCCACCATGCCCGGCTAATTATGTGCATTTTTAGTAGAGACAGGGTTTTGCCACTTTGGCCAAGCTGGTCTTGAACTCCTGACCCCAGGTGATCCGCCTGCCTCGGCCTCCCAAAGTGCTGGGCTTATAGGTGTGAGTTATTTCTAAGGCATTCTGAAATCCTGGGCCTATGTTTACACTATGAGTATAAAATTCTTACTGTTTGGTTTCACTAAGTCTTTACTGTTGTTATCTCTTTCTGGCAAGTCAATTTTGTCTCTGGTCTAGCAATCTTAGCTACAGTGTCTCTTTGATGTTAATATATTGTTTTTTAATATTCCTTCTTTTATTTCCTTCACAGGGTACATCCCCAGTTACTTAGACAAGGACGAGCTCTGTGTAGTGTGTGGTGACAAAGCCACTGGGTATCACTACCGCTGTATCACGTGTGAAGGCTGCAAGGTAATTGCCCTGGGTCCACGAGCATGGAGCTTAGCCCAGCTCCCGTCCCCTCCCAGTGCTCCTCCAGAATGCAACATTAAGTTTAAGTTCAAATTAAAACCAAATCCTAACATCCATGGCCTGTGATCATCCAGGTGTCTGGTTGTGCTCTTCATTTTTGACATGTTCAAGAACTGAATTTTTTTCCCAAATCATAAATAACTAAATGAGTGTGATGTCTGGTTTCTTTACTTCTGCAAGTGTTCTTAAAACAGGAAGAGAATCCATAAAATAAAAAGAAATTAATAAAACTCTTACTTTGGGTTTATAAAGCATAGGTCCTTTTTAACATGTTGTCATCCTGAGAAATGACTGTTTCTCCTCTTGTTTTATCAACAGTGTTGGAGGAGACAGAGTTTACTCTACCACAGGCTGTTTTCTGCTGTTAGTCTGAATGAATATGCTCATTTTCCAAGGGTTCCAGTAGGGAATATCTTTGAGGCTACTTAGATTCAGTTATGTTCTGAAATTATCCAAATTGGCTTTTCGCACAGCCTGCAGTGACTAAGTAGATTCTGGTCATCCATCAGCTAATTTTGTGCTGTACAGTCCTATCTGCAGGAAATACTTGACAAGAATATGCCAGTGATCAACAGTCCATTCACTTCCTGAAACTCAGCCTAAATTGGCCTACTTACAAGACTTCATCAACAAAATCGAGATAAGGTTTCTGGAAAATATCTTTTGGTCCAACGATCTAGCCTTGAAAATGAAATCCACCATAAAGGGAAAAGCTTGACCCAATGCTGTATTTAGTGTTTGTTCAGCTGATGTTTCATAAGTAAAGAAGTATTTAAAGTCAGGGAAGGACTTTTTAAATTGTTTACTTGTTAAATACCTTCTCTTTTTTACCTCTTATATTTAAAACTAAATTATCAGAAGATGTAAACCCTAAAGCAAAAATTGTATTAAATGTATAAAACATTTCACCTTCCCTCCTCTCTCATCCACCTTACCTCTTCTCCTCTTCTTCCCCTTCTCCAACTGCCCCCCTTTGTTCCTACCCTTGCTTGTAAAGCCCCCAAATTGACATGTTAGCTCAGTTTCAAATTAAGGAGTTTTCTTTTTCCCTAATGGAAGATTTTCCTTGCAAATTCCCTATGTTTTGTACATGAAATTAGGAAACATTTAGGAGAAGGCTGCAAAAAAGTTTGAGATAATACAACCATTGGAAAGGGGCAATTTCTAAGGTTGCAAGACTGTTTTTTGAAATGTGGTCTAACATGTTCTCATTTATCCAGACCCCTTTGATCTGGAATTTGTAGTCCTTTAACAAAGACTGGGCTAAAGGTGGCCATTACATCTATGGAAATAATGTCTTAGGGAATTTAAGGAATCTAATTACAAGTAAGTCCTGGCTATTTATTAATTAGAGACTTGCAGACAGTCTCATGAAAGTAGTTTTATTGGCTTGATTTGAAAGTAATAAATCTTCATAACTTTAGGTACCTACTCTCATTCCAAAAGTTCGACAATTCAAACTAGACTTTTCTCTAAATTAGTCCCAATTCATAAGGCTTTCCCTACCTTAGATGCAGCACTAAGGTTCTAAATCAGTGCATAATGGGAAATTTCGAATTCTGGGAGAGAGATCCTAATTCCATTTAATATGGAATTCCATTTAATACTTAATTCCCCAAAATGACTCTAAAGAGTGAATGTGCCTTACAGAGGACAATACATTATTAGTGATTGACTTAAACAAATTGAGCCTATTAACCCATATCCCTGCCTCACATATGTCTTCAGGATGATCAAGAAATCAGCTAGCCTGTTCTCCCTAGATCACAGGATGTCTGGAGCCTGGATCAGCTGAGGTTTTCTTAAAAGAAGAAATAGTGTAGCAAAATCTAGATTTCAGGCTCTGTGCCTTTGTTTCAGGTCAGAATCCTGTATCTAGGTTTGCCTTCATCGTAAAATCAGAAAAGAGCCTTCCCAGGGCACTTGTGCAGATCCCATCATGTAATGACAAAGCATCTTGGAAAAAGACAAATGAGCTTTCCAAATGAGACACACAGTGTTTAAGAGTGGTGAAAGATGAAAGGGTTGTTTCCTATACTGTTTATTCAAACCTGTAATTTAAAAATATTTCTACCCCATACTTGCAATATGTATGGAGAGAATCCTTTTTGCCAGTTTTCACCCTAAGAAGAGTGAAATCTTTTGGAAATGTCATGTCTGTTGTGATATCCAAGTTTTTACGCATCTTTTGTAGAAAGGATGTTGATACTGTCCCACAGCAAACTATTGTTAGAGGAAGAACCAAAGTTTTTTAACAGCTGCCAGAATAGTGAACTAGAAGAGTGAGTTATCTCCTTTTCACATTGATCAGTGCATCATCTCAAAGTACTAAAAAATGGATACGGTTCTTCTCAGAATGCAAAGAAACATGTCTGATATTGATCTATAAAAGCAAGACCTCTTCTTACCAACAAATCATCAATGAAATATATGTCCTTATTTATTGCCCAGGGCATCTCTTTTGTCAGCTCATCTCTAAAAGGATTTTTTTTTAAATAAGTAGACTGTTTAAATGTCTTCAAGTCCACTTCCAAGAGTTACTATCTGTTACTTTTTAAAATGAAGTGGTTCCTTATCATACGTCAAAATGTACTTTAATTACAGCTTAAGAAAGGTCAACATTTCAAGAAAAAAAAAAAAAAAAAAAAGGCCAACATCTTTAAAAGGATTTGGTCCATGAAGTGCCCAAGAAAAGTCATCAGAGATAGGCCAAAGAAAAGATGGTATAGTGTATAACAGAGCTAGCTATCTCAACTCTTTTGTGGAAATAAGCAAAGTATAAATTATTTCATTCATTCCAATAAAAAGTGAACAGAGTAACTTTTTGGAAAACCCTGGGGTCTGGTGTGTCACACCTCATTCTCTGCTTAGCGTGGTCTTACTGGTCAATGTACTCCTTGCCCTAACCCCACCCCTGAACATGAGTCAGCATCAGAGTATGAGGGAGACAGGGGTCTCCCCAACTTCAGATAGACTAACAATCTTCCTATCCTGGTAAGCAGTCAGCATTCTTACTGGATGTCTTGGACTTTGGTATTTCTACCTCTAGGAAATTGTTGTTTCCTCCAGAAGGAGGCGTGCTACCCTACCCTTCTCCTCCCTGTCTGTTACATACATCTTGCCAGCAATCTCTGGGTTTCTTTAGTTCTCCTTTGCCCTCCTTGGTCAGAGGGTAACAGAAAGAAAAGCGAGGTTTGCAGGGAAACTTGTTTTTCACTCTCATGGCATGCTCTGACATTCACGCTTTGGCAAGATTTGCCCACCCTGCACACCCAGGAAAACATTGCTAACATCTCCAACAGCTGCCCTGTGTGTGACTGAGTGAATCTCATAACAGTGTATCAACATCACTCAGATTAATGGACTCAAGTGCTTATGAACACAAAACCCAAATATAATATGACAGTTTTCTGTTAGAACTTGAACAATGGAAATGATAAGGGATTTGCATATATGCCCCAAAATCAAGTCTGTTCATTTCAGTTATTCCTGATGTTTTCCCATTTTATTCTGCTTTGCCCAATATAACATCCTACCTTGGACATTTTCATAATAAGAAAGAGCTTTTGTGCCTGAGGGAGGAATATGCAATAGGGTATATGTATATAATCAAAGCCGAAGAACATTAACCAGGATAATAAAAATATGGGTTGAATCTAGGTCAACTGGTATTTCCCACCATTTATCTAACAAAGTTAGAGGCCCCCTTTAGGCCTTAGCAGAAAACATCCATCAAAACTTGTTTTGCCACCAGGCGCAGTGGCTCATGCCTGTAATCCCAGCACTTTGGGAGGGAGGCGGAGGCGAGCAGATCATTTGAGACCAGCCTGGCCAATATGGCAAAAATGCATCTCTACTAAAAATATAAAAATTAGCTGGGCATGGTGGCTCATGCCTGTAATCCCAGCACTTTGGGAGGCCAAGGAGGACAGAACACTTAAGGCCAGGAGTTTAAGACCAGCGTGGCCAACATGGCAAAACCCCATCTCTACTAAAAATACAAAAATTAGCCAGGCGTGGTGGCTCATGCCTATAATCCCGGCTACTCTGGATGCTAAGATATGAGAACCACTTGCACCCTGGAGGTGGAGGTTGTAATAAGCCAAGATTGCACCACTGCACTCCAGCCTGGGTGACAGAGTGAGACTCTGTCTCAAAAAAACATTTTTTTTTAAATTTTTTTACATTTTAAAAAACTCATTTTGCCTTGTTATTCTACCAACAGATAAAATGAACTTTTTAAGTGGGTGGGACAGGACTATTTATAATCTGTTCATCTAAAACATTTAAGTAATACAGTAAAATTTACTTCATTATACATAATAGAAGCAGTTAAGCAATTAAGATGTGGAGTGCCACTCCTGGGTTGCAAGGGAGGTGGGGACCATTGCTGGATGGTTTCCATCCCACCCAAGTTCCTGCGTGTACTTACCATGTGATTTGGTCAAATGGCTTAACCTGTCTGAGGTTTACTTTTTTAATCCCTACCATGGAAATATTTAGAGCACCTCCCTTACATGGTTGTAGGGAAGATAGAAGGATATCAAATGTTTCTACAGCACTTTGCAATGTGCCCTCAAAGTAAGTGCTCACTACTGTTATTAATTCCTACAATACAGATGACAGTTGCCTCAACCTGAGGATCATGTCCAGAAAAATTCTAGTATTGCACATTCTTGAGAATATTACCTAAGTCACCCACACCTAGTGTCCCCAGATGCTACAGAGGTGCTCTCTCATGCCTTAAGAAAGGAAGAATCATTGAACCTGTAGGTGTATATCTACAGATACCAAAGAAAGAGTGTTATAAAAGGAAAACCTCAATGCAATAAGCTATGGGGAAAAACTTGGTAGAAAACCTGGAATGTTCTACTCCCTGAGTCCTATTGTTTGAAAGGCCAAGTGAGCTGATCATGGCTGTCTCAAGAGTCAAAAACAAGTATTAAACTAAATCCGTGAAGCCAGCTAGTACAACTGTTTAATTACTATTATTAGATTTTTAATTAACAAATTATTGCAAGTATCCATCTCTTTTCATTTTTTCACTTTCTTCTTGGTCTTGAGCTTTCTTATTACCCAGTATAAAGTAGCAAAACTCCTCATAGCTTCCTTTAGCAACACAATTATGTCACTCTATGAGACAGAACAATATAATTTACTTATACATTCAATATTTAGAAAAAATAAAAACAAGCACTAGATGTTCCTACTAGCCTCTTTTCCTTGAATAAATACCAAAAAAAGGTGTTGACTCTGTAGTCCTATGGCATCATCAGCTCAGATTTAGAACTCACTAGATCTTTCTGGGCCAACTGTCTTATATTTGAATATGTGGAGCTAGAGGCCCAGAAACAGGTTAAGGTCTGAAACAATTCATCTCATAGTTATATGGACACAAAATTCCAGAATCATTGATTTCTAGAAAATATGAAACTGTTGTCTCGGGTCTTTGTTTTTCAAATAGGGTTTCTTTAGAAGAACCATTCAGAAAAATCTCCATCCATCCTATTCCTGTAAATATGAAGGAAAATGTGTCATAGACAAAGTCACGCGAAATCAGTGCCAGGAATGTCGCTTTAAGAAATGCATCTATGTTGGCATGGCAACAGATTGTAAGTAGATCTTCATTTGCTTCATATTCAAGGAACGTTGATTAGGAAAGAGTTTGGTTCAAGGGGATCGACTGGGCAGAAAAGAAAGCAGGAACCCATGGGGACAGAGAAGGGAATACCTTACTTTCGCATATACCCTTCACTCCCCACAACCAGGCTTGCCCTGAAAGGGAGGTGGGAGCCATTGCTGGGTGGGTTCCGTCCTACCCTGTCATATCACCTCCTAACTCTCAAAGTATGGATGATGGAAGAGAAAATGCTGTTAGATTATCCCTATCGCATTTGCAGGCCTAGCTGTTGGCAACACTCTGTTTGAGACAGAGATTACAAATGGGAGGTCTGGTCCATTTACCTTGATAAGGTATCATTCTATACACAGTGTTCACGTGGGGTAGAGCCTCAGGGACTAGTCCTAATATTTTTTCAGGAGCAGAGACAAGGAGTTTATTTAATGGACATTTTTGGAGATGGGGCGCTGGCAGAAAACATCGTGTTCAGAAATTTCTGAAGAATGCAAAGTTGAGTGCTATTGCATGAGTCATCCTGCAGTTGGTTGTTTGTTATATTTTTAGCAATAAAGACATTCCGAGCTGAAGTCGTCCTACCCAGTTTTCAAAGTGCTACAGCATATGGTGGCGAGATTAGCCCTTGGGGTCTCTTCTCCCCACACTGGGCGAGGGATTTACACCAGTCACTTTAATTAATCTAATCATAAAAATAAGAATCATGTCATTCAGAATGTGTGGCCTCCCTTTTGCCAGGCGTCAGTATTAATGATTTCTACCGGCATAAATTTGTTGCACATCAGTGAGAGATTCCAACTATTGGTTAAAAACTAAAAATAAAAAGAAAGATAAAAAATTAAGAGAGAAAAAAGAAAATACAGTGAGGATTTTTCCTGATGAAAGAAATAATCATGGCTCACATTTATGTGAGAAATAGAGTTCTTTCACTGAGAAAAAAAAAATCTGTGAAATGTTCTGGTTTGCCCATTAAAGAAGAAGGAATGGAGAATCTTTAAAAAGGAAGAGGGTTATGTTAGGGTGTTAGGCTGGAAATCCTGGGTTAATCCCCACCTCTGGCTGACTATGTTCTTTATCTCTTAAAGGCCTTTAGCCCTTGCCAACAATATGCCTGATAAGGATATGTGAATATGATTGACTTAGAGCCAAATACTTAGATATGCTACTATGACAAACTTATTATTGAATATCCACTTCAGTGCTTTATTGAGAAGTTTAAGATATGAGTGTCTATGAGGTTTAAAAACTCAGGGTTAATCTAGACTGTATGGAAATAAATTTTGAGTGCCCCTTACTTGCCTGCGAGGGATTCTAAGAGCTCAGGCTTTCTAATCAGAAAAACTTCTGTTCGAGTCCCAGATCTGTCACTTACTAGCTGTGTGACCTTTGGAATTAAGCCAAGATTTTCCTTCTGTGAAACCATTGCCTACCTTGTAGAGCTGTTTTCAAGATTAAATTAGATAATGTTCATCAAATGCAACAGTCCTGGCACACCTGAAGCATTTGGGAAGGGACTGAGGGTATTATTACCATTCCTCCTTTCCCTTTAGTAACTGAACCAAAATGACTTAACAGGGCTCATTCATATTGTCCTCATTTGTAAGCTCTCATATGACTTTGACAATCCAATCAAATCTAAATGACCTGTAATTTAATATTCTCTTTAAATTAGAATATTTAAATGGTGGACTAGCTAGGCACCTTGGTTCTCCTTCTCTTGCTATGTTTGCTTTTTTTCTTTTCCTACCAGGTCACACCTTCATCAAGAAATGGCCCTAGGACAGTGATGTCATAGAACTGGAGTCAGGAGTCCTGGGTCTTGCCTTGGCTCTGCCATTAACTTGCTCTGTGACTTTAGGCAAGTCACGACCTCTCTGAATCAATTTCTTCTTCTTTCTTTGAAAAGAGAGAGTAGGACTAGATGACCTCTAAGCTCCCTTCCAGTTCAAAATACTGTGACTCTGCAATGTAAAACCTGAGTCTTTCCATTCCATTGATAGTTACCAAATCTAGTGAAACGGTTTTGTTTTTGGAAATTAACCACAGAAATATAGGTTTCTTGTTACCTGCCCTTCTGATTTTCCTCTCACCCAAATGATAGAAGTCAGGACTGCATTTACTGAGCACTTATAATGCATTATCACATTGAATACTCTGTGAAGTGGGCATTATTGAGCCCATTTTGTATAGGAAGAAACGAAAGCTCAGAGAACCTTAGGAACTTGCCAGAGGTCACACAGCTAGAATGTGATCATATCAGAATTCAAATCCAAGTCTTTCTAGATTCCAAAGCCTGGGCTCTTTAGCCACCTTTGAGGGTGGACCAGATAGAGAATAATGCACAGTGAGTGCCCTGAGGCCCAGGTGAGGCCCAGCCACATTCCAATTAGCCCTTAAGGGAGCCATGAAGAGTTAGGGTCCTTTTTCCTCTAAAAAAAAAAAAAGGGGGGGGGGATCATGAGCCTCCCACTTACTGCTCCATAACGTTTCTTTTTTTCTTCCCATAACTTTTCTTTAACCTGAAGTTCTCCTTACTACGAACCATTTTAGGGGAAGCAGGGAGGACAGAAACCCAGACAGTGAATTCAGATGACTGGCTAGAGAGATTTCTCTGTGATCTTGTGGGTAGTATGGATTTTACCTCTCTCTGCTTCACTCTGTTTTAGAACCACCTTCTGTGGAGTTGGAGTGCGTAGTGTCTAGGTTCTCTGGGGACTTTGTTTTGAAAAGCTGGCCAGTCATGGGGAGTTTGGCTCTAGAGACCATGTTGGACAAGACTAGTCAATGGCAGTTTGCTAGTGAGGAGAGAAAATGTCCCAGTGTGACCCACCCCGAAGGACCCACTGAGCCATCTGTGCATCAGTGGTCCCACCCCTGAGGCTCCAGGAAGTGCAGCTTGCTGTGTGTCTTGGGACCATCTGTGTGCCTTGTCTCATCTTTCTCCCGCTCCCAGTGGTGCTGGATGACAGCAAGAGGCTGGCCAAGAGGAAGCTGATAGAGGAGAACCGGGAGAAGAGACGGCGGGAAGAGCTGCAGAAATCCATCGGGCACAAGCCAGAGCCCACAGACGAGGAATGGGAGCTCATCAAAACTGTCACCGAAGCCCACGTGGCGACCAACGCCCAAGGCAGCCACTGGAAGCAAAAACGGAAATTCCTGGTAAGGCTTCCTTGCACAGATCAGTTTCAGTTATACGCCAGCGTTTTCTACCTCAATTTGTTTGGTCCTCATCACCTTGGGATACTGGTGTTATTGCCTCATTTTACTGATAGGAAAACTGTAGCTCTGAGAGGTTGAGTAACTTGCAAAGCTAGGATTTGAGTCTAGGTCTGTATGAGTATAAAGGCCAGTCCTACCATCTAGTCCGTGATTTGCTGAATTCTAAAACAGTTTCTTAGGCCACATTATATCAGTTTGCTTTTACTGTTAGAAAGACCACTCCTGGACCAACTAATCAGTAAAATGTTTTGTCTGCCATCTTTTACTTTGTACACCCATTTCTTTCCTCAGATACCCAGTATATGCATATTTAGTCCCTAAACTCAATCCCAAATACTCCCTTTAGAATAGCCTCTAGACCGCTAGTATATTTTTATGTCAACAGAAGTCAAAATTTTTTAGCTTAAATTAAATGAGCTTGAGTCAAGAAGGGCAATGGGAATGAGGGAGTAGGGATAGGGGTTGGTGGGCGTGAGTGTGTAGAGATAAAAGACCTTCCAGACCCTTGCAATATTGGTGTTTAATATTCTTATAAAAATTACCTGTTGTGAAAGTTCTTCCCATTCATTTCTCATTTGGACTTCACAGTGCTTTGAAGTAAGCTGGAATTACTATCCCCATTTTACAGACGTGCAAACCAAGCCCAAGGCCTTAAGCCGCTTGCCCAAGATCACACTGCTAAAAGCCAGGCACCAAAGCCAACTCGGTCTTCTGGTTCCAAGTCCGGGCTCTCCACCCACCTCATTAGAAAGAGTACCTGCCTCACTAGTGCTGGACCATCTGAGACTGACTTTGCTCTTAGCTTATGATGTAAAACCCTTTCTAAGTAGCTGCCTGACAACAGATATTCTGTGGTTTCATATGTATCCCTAGGGCACGTTAGAGTACTTCCCCATCTGAACAAGAAGATACAGTGGTATAATTATCCTTGTACTTCAACATTAACATTACAATGAGATAGTGGATCTTTTTAAAACAACATAACAACAACCTTAAAGGAAGTTTTGGAAAGAAAAAGCTTAAGCATAAGTTACCTGTACTGACACAATTATTTTCATGGTAATGAAACAACGGTGCCAGCACTTTGTTGATGGCTTTCATTAACAGCAATGTGAGCAAATACCTAGATGGCCTTCACCATATGCCAGGTACTATTCTAAGTGCTTTACATTCATTAACTTCCTATGCCAATCCTGTAGGTAGATGTGGTTAATATCTCCATTTTACAGAAGAGCGAACTAAGGCAGAGAAGTTGAGGAAGCTTGCCTGAGCTCCCACAACTAGTGAATAGTGGTGATGGATGCAGCCAACTCCAGGATCTGTGCCTCTACCCACTACCCTATGCACTCTTGGCACCTGAACAAACCCAAAAAAACCTCTGAAAGATGCCAGCGTTTTGGAGGACCAGCTTCTCAGTGCCTTGATCTTGCATCGTCACCCCCACCCTGAGATATCTACCAGAAAGTTCAAAAGCACTAATTCTGGATTGATAGACCAATTCTAACACAATACACTTGGGGCATAGCAAGACAGAGTCCTACCTCATTGCAAACTTAAATCTATCCTTTCCCCAAATGTGTCACCCATAAATGGACATTGTAGAAACCACTTCCAGGCCTGGCACTGTCTCCTGATTTCAAGTAGTGACCAAGCTGAATTCCAAGTAAGGTAGAAGATTTGAAGTTCATCCTGGACTTCTCCTGGGAATTTTATACTTTTATTGTCTTTACTCCCCACAGAGAATGGACACTAGTCCAACTAAACTTGTTTAAGTAGTCATAAGGTGTTTCTTTCCAGACTTTAAAGGTTTGTTCTTTTATTTAAGAAATGTTTATTGAGTGAATACTGTGTGCCAGGAACTAAACAAGTCAGCCACATTCCTCTAGTGGAAGACAGACAATAAGAGGTAAACAAAATAAATGCAGGTAGTGGTAAGTGCAATGAGGGCAATAAACAGTGTGATGGGACAAAGAGTTTGTGAACTGGAAGTGGGGAGAGACTTAATTTCTCTGAACATGGTGGTCAGAAGAAGCATCTCTGGGGAGGTGACGTGCTATGTCTGGAAGCAGAGAAACCACCTCTATAAAGCAAAATATAATCAAATATCTTCATGCTGTGTGGTATCTTCAGCAAAGACAGCACAATATCTAGTTATTAGAACCAGTCTTGAGGTCTGCACTGTTCACTTAAAGGCCCCTAACAGTTCACCAGCCTGACCATCTATGGAAAGAATCTATGGCACAGAATGATTTGCCATTAGGTTTCTGTTGGAACCATGAGATTACCCACGCGCAAGAGAGTTTTCTTCTCCTTGGAGGGCTGACATGAAATGTATCTTTTGCAGATCTTTCATCTGCTCAAGAAATTGTCCCTCTTGATGCAAATGTAAATAACTGCTTCTCCAAGCCATTTTTCTCTAGAGGGTTATTGGGAGAGATCAGAACTCCTCCACTGTCCTGTCTGTCTCCACAACGAACTTCATTTCTGTCACCCTATCCCGCTGTGTGCCTGGGATAACCCCTGCATCTGCTCACAGGAGGACAGTGCTCCATTCAGCCTCCACACTTGAGTATCTATGCTGTGTGTGATGGAAACTTGTGGTAGCTTTTCTCCAAGATGGCTGCCATCAAATTCTTTCTTCCCTCTGTATACACAGCCCATTCTGTCCCCGAGAGAGGTGGAGTCTGTTCCCCTCTCCCCTTGAATCTAGGCTGCTATGTGATGCCTTTAAACAGCGCATTTCGGCAGAAGTGATACTTACGTTACTTCTAAGGTTGGGTGATAAGAAGCCTTGCAGCTTCCACCTGGGTATCCTGGGGGAGGGAAACCACCTGGTCTCTCATAGCAGTTGGCTATATATTTAAAAATAATAAGAATAATAATAAAAAAATAATAAATGTCCAACTACTCTGAGACCAGCAGGCAGTGAGGAATCCCAAGCTAGCCATGTGAAAAGGCCACACGGAAGGAGAGACTCCCAAGCAGCCCAGGAACCAGAAATGTGAGTAAAGAAGCCTTCACATGACACCAGCCTCCACTGCCATTTGACGGCAGCCGTAGGAGGGCCCCCTAGCTGTGCCCATCAATCCCCAGAACTCTGAAAGAAAATTTAAAATTGTTGTTTTAAACCACAAAGTTTGGGGGTAGTTTGTTATACAGCAATAAATAACCAGAACAGAACTCAATAAATATTTGCTGAACTGAACATACAGTTCCAGTCACTCATCCTTGGAGATAGTACAGTTAAGCCCTGTGTCTTAGCCAGTTTACATATTTACACATACCCCTTGCAGAAAAGTGACTCCAACTGAGTATTTATGCTCAGGATGAAAACTTCACTCTTTTGAGTAGTGAATTAGTCCTGCAAAGACATTAAGAATCTTTACCTAAAGGCAGCTTTGCTAAATGGTATTCATGTACTGGAAGGTATCGTGTGGCAAACAGGCTTTTGCACATTAGGATTTGCCTCTTCTGTATGCTAATACCCCTTTTCCTGTGCTTGTAACACTGCCACATGTTATTTATTTTTTATGTGTTGATGTCCCATTTTGTTCCAAAAAAATTTGAGGAGGCCTATCATGTTAACGATAGTATAAAAATATGTCATATGGGATTACATGTCGTCATTAAAGCTGAAAGTATTCATTTATCTGGAATGGGTACGTACCTTCTTCCCTCAGAGGAACTACTGACATAGTTTTTTGTCTAAGACCAGGACTCATTTTCACTCTAAGACCAGCACTCAAGTCAGAAATAGAGACAGGGCTGGCCACAGTGGCTCATGCCTGCAATCCCAGCATTTTGGGAGGCCAAGGTGGGTGGATTGCTTGAGCCCAGGAGTGTGAGACCAGCCTGGGAAACATAGCAAGACCCCATCTCTACAAAAAGTAAACAAATTTAGCCAGACTTGGTGATGCTCACCTGTGGTTCCCCACTACTCAGGAGGCTGAGGTAGATGGATCACTTAAGCCCAGGAGGTCAAGGCTACAGTGAGCTATGATTATGCCAAAAATCTCCACTCCGGACTGGACAACAGAGTAAAACCCTGTCTCAAAAAAAAAAAAAGAAAGAAAAAAGAAAAAGAAACAGAGACAGTGATTTGATCTGGATTTTAAATCTATATTTGGGTCTGAGAAAATTAGGGTCTTTGGCAAATGAGGAACTTTTGCAAAAGCCATTAAGATTTTCATAATAAATCTAAAGCCAATCTTTAAAGCTTCTCCCAAAAGCATTTAAATCATATAATTTTCTAGTTTTCTCCAATCTACTCAAATCTCTGAGGCTACAGAAATGCCTAATTTCACCACCAACAATTCATGTGTGATGACAGTGAGGATGAAAAGCAGAAGCGGGCTGAGAAGAGAACAAGCAGCATCTGATGCCAAACAAGGGAAAGCAGGTCGCTCCACCAAGGGTAGCTCGCTTCTAGACCTCCAGTAGCAGCCCCTGACAGCAATAATCTTGTCTACTGACATCATTTGTTATTGTCTGCTGACATCGTATCATTATTCTGCTCCCTTAATTTTCATGCGAAGTTGTAGCTTTGGGTGAATGTCTACCCAAGTATAAAATGTGACCTTTAGGATCAGAGGAGACCTTTCCTACTTTTTCCCTGGCAGAGATACTGTCTGATTTCACACACTCAACGGGGGTAGCTTCAGACAAGGGGCATAAGCAGAAGGGTCAGATAGGGTGAGTGATGAGACCATATGTGGTCTGTGTGTATAGCTCATAGGACACGTGCAATCATGTCAGGAAGGCATCTATCACTCCAAGTTATTAGAATAACATCAGAAGAAGGCAAGATAATCTAATAGTTACATGAATGGGGATTGGAACCAGACAGCCCAGGTTCCATACTTGCCACTGTTGCTTTTTTAAGTTTGACTTTGGGCAAGTTATTTCACCTCTCTAAGGCTCAGATGCCTTATGCCCTTGCT